GCTCGGAGCATTCTGTGGACATATTGAATTCGCCAAGCCAGGCCTGTATCCATCGGTGCGACAAACGAATGTCCGACTGGACAGGGGCCACGCCTTTCATTCCAGTGGTCAAATCTACCATGATTAGATACTTGAAAGACTCTTTGTTTGCTTTATCCAAGTTCAAGAAGAAAAAATCACATGCCATCTCACTGCTCAACACCGACTTCTTCTTTCTTCTGTGGTGAGTCGTGGACTTGGCTGCTTGGCAAGAAAGGCAATCTGCATGGAATGGAAAATGGCCTTGACGGCGGTGTTGTTCAAGCTTGGATTTATTCAAGTCTCGTTTTCGCAATACAGCTGGATGCTCTGAAGACTCTTCTGAAGGAATGGATGCAAATCCTGTGTTTGTGTCTACAATCATATTGGGCTCATAATCAAAAGGCTCGCTCGAATCCGGAACAGAGTTAGGCTCCACACTGAGGCTTTCACGGTATGGAGATTCACTATCGGAAACGGGCCTACTACTAACATATGCTGGGCTAGAAGAGGATGCAGCAGCGGGGTCAAGTTCTTCCAATGAAACATCTGGCTGTCTCTTGGTTGTCATCAACATGGATTTGTCAGTTTCGCTCAAATGCTCAACCGTGTTCACCGGACCATCATGGATTTTCCGACGGCTCCAAAATGTCTTCTGCAAATCGCGATCATCGGAAAAGTCCATGACCGTCTCAACTTCGTGAAAAATCCATGGCACATTCTGCCATGTCACCAAGTCCAAATTGTATCCTCCAAAGCACACTTCCAATTCACTTCCGGAACTGCTTAATGACCAACCCTTTCGCAGCAAGCTGCCCACTGACAAAACATTATTGGGAACATCTGCTACAAAAGCTGAAACTAAGCACTCTTTCAACATGGTGTCTGAAGGATCTTCTCTGGACGTCAAGCGGAAAAATGCTTTCAAGCAAACAAGGGAAGTTGGATGAATTGTCTCACCGCTTGCCGATGAAAACCCAGGGCCGGTTGCTGGTCCCAGCACTTGATTCTTTACTACTTCATAGTGTTTCAGGAAGCGAGAACTCACAACAGAGGCTGATGCTCCTGAATCAATGAGCCACCAGTGCAAATCTGATGGGACATCTGGCATCATTGGCATGAAAACTGCAGCTGACATGGTACAAACATGCTTGGTTTTACTCCACAAATCTGATGGGTTTCCAAAACATGAAAAATCAAAATCAGAAGAAAATTGTTCCTCCATGAGAAATGATCCGTGGACCAAATCGAACTGCTCTTCTGTGATCTGCTCTCGCTCAAACTGCACGATCGTGTCTTCAAACCAAGACTGAGTAGGCAAAATGGGATTCAAAGGGGCTGCTGCTTGCTTCGCAGCTGACGCACGGCTGCCATCTCCATTGGAACCCTGACTTTCAGCTGGACCATTGGTAGGCCACGATTCGCCTTCAGGCTGCTCAAGCATTTCATTGACTTTCTTACCTTTGGATCCTTTGCCTTTTCCTTTGTTCTGAGGACCTGTGCTGGAACCTTTCTCTTCACCAGATCCCTTTCCATCTTTCTTTGGAGCGGGCTTCCCTTCAAGCGGCTTGCCATCCTTGTCTTTCTTGGCATGACAATTTGAAGAGAAATGGCCTGTGCGACCACATCGGAAACACGTGGCATTCCTTTCCTTCTCTGACTTTTCACCATTGCCCTTAGCTGCACCTTTATTTGAATCTTTTGCTTTCCCCTTTCCTTTCTTACCATCTTTGCTTTTGCCCTTTCCTTTCGGCTTGTCATTCGTGTCAAACATTCCATGCATGTAGGTGGCAGAACTGCTGCCTGCAATCTCTGTCCAAGTTCTCTGGTTGGCTTCGTACAACAAAGCGGCATTTTTCATTTGCACATAGTCATGGCTTGGGCTATGCATGACAACATATTCCCTCACACCAACAGGCAAGGATTTGATGAGGACCATCACCAAATCACTAGGGAGCAGGGCCAAATCGGAAGCTGGTACATTCGAGGGCAACATCCGAGCAAGCTTGTTGTACCGGCTCTCCTCGAACTCAATTTGCTTGATTACCTCTGTCACTGTTTGAGCTTTGAAAGTTCGGCCAAGCAAAGATGTGCGGAAATGCATCAACTCAGCACGAGTCTTGATCATGTATTCTTGGACAATCCTTCGCAAAGCCTCATACCCGTTCTTATCTCCAGGGCCTTCTACATAAGCAAGCAGAATGATTTTGGCTCGCGGAGTCATCTGGAAGGTCTGGCGAAGCATTGCCATGAGCCTGGAGCTTCGGGAAATCTGGTCAGTTGACAAATCTTTCTTGTCAATTGGCAGCGGAGAAGTCGCAGAAAACTTCACTTCTGTGCAAAATGGCTCTGAAATCAAAGATAGCCAATTGCAAAATGAATCGAGCCACTGTTCCATGCCCAAAATCTCCTCCATTCGGCTTTTCCACCGATTCGACTCGACCACGGGCATGCTAGGCAGCCACTTGTCGCTTCTCTGCAGCGCATCTAGCTGTGTGGATCCAGGAACTTTAGGACCCGCGGCATTTGACTGGCCGCCCAAGGGGATCTCCGTACCATCGGGTAAGACAATTTTTACCCCATGTCCAGTGCTTGAGCTCGCATTCACTGCAGTATTTGGCATCGCCGATGCAAGTCCACCTGCACCTTGCTGAGCATTCACTGGCAATTGGATGGGCGGGTCTTGTCCAGAAGTAAAAGGACTGGCTTCTCCCATGGCACCGAAGCGATCCTCATTGGCAGCCGCCACTGACTGAGAAGCACTTGGAGGGATTGGCACTCTTTGGGCTCGTATATCATTCAGCTCATGCTGCTGACGCTCAAGGGTGTCAACAAGAGTTTTCTGGTGACCTGCAAGTTCTCGAACTGCCTTGCCAACTTCCGCTTGTAAAGTGTCCATGCTCATTCGGACTCGATTGAGTTGCTCCTCGAAGACAAAGGGGACGGAGGCGTTTGCATTTCCAGGGGCATATCCGGTTGTTGCAGGCAAAGAAACTCCTCTTCTCGTTTGAGAACGGCCTCTCGGTGACCTGTCTCTGGCCGGCTGCTCCATGGCTGCAAATCAGATTCTGCTAGATGTAGGTTCCAAGATCTCTTGTCAAGATCAGTTGTCTGCTGTCAATCCTGAACCCTGGGAAAACCTAGGAGAAGACCAATTCAAGGGGGTTCCTAGGAGAACACTGGCTCCGCTACCATGCGAGAATTATCACCCCAGAAGAGTAGATAATTGCAACTGAGAATGTGGACAACTCTGCTTGACAACTCACGCCCTTTTTGTCTCACTGTGCTAGCAGAATTTACGCCTCCTAATCTTGAGCCAACATGTTGTTGGCGGAATGCTGATCTCATTGATCAAAGGAAGCACGATGCGGCTGAGCATGTTCACAATGCTGTGGCAACAGGGAGAGCTGAAAGCTTGGTTGCGGTCAAATTCTCTAATTGTTTCCAAACTCACATTCGGTTCAGACGTCATGTCTGCTTACTCTAGTTCGGAAAAAAAACTCTTGCAAATTTGCACGGCTCTCAAATTGGAAATGTGATCAAAAGCGGTTCAAAAACTTCGATCTCACAGATTGCTTGGACCCAGGAAACGCAAGACAATAGGAGATCATCAGGATGTTCAAAAAGTCTCAACCGTGGAAACGTCGCAAAACGATTTCTGAGAAGCTTCAAACTCATAAGCTGTACCGCAGCTGATTATAAATTCCTCTTTCGCACGTCTAAATGTTTCTCCAAAATTGAAATCACTGTGTGAATTCCGCGTTCGAAATCTCAATGCTCTGTCAAAGATTGAAATCACTGTTCCGCGTTCGAAATCTGAACGCGCTGTCAGGAAAGTTGGAAATCAAGCTCTAAACTGCATACGACTTGCTCAAATCGCACAAAACGTGTCACATGCTATGCAGCAAAAGACACTTTCACAAATCTCTGAAATCACTTGAAAAATTCGGAGAAAATTATTCCAAGCTGGCAATGCAAGCTGAATGGCATAGGATGAGTTTACAGCATCATCAAGCAAGTTCAGCTTACTGTCTTGGAGGAGGTTGTAAAGAGTTTTGAGGTGTTCGGAGGAGCGCTCAAAGGGATTGATGGCATGCTGAAAACAAGCAAATCTCTAGATCCAAGTGTCATACTTAGATGGCTGTCGCTTTGCTCACGCATGTGGGTATGATTTGATATAGTATCATGTGAAGTCAAATAGACTTGAAGACTTTGCTAAAAGCAAGTTTGTTTTCATGTTTTGTTGGGGCAACATTTGCTTGTAGCTTGTAGCAAGTGATTAGTGATTGGTTGAGAGTCCGCCAGCGACCAAACAATGAATACGCATCGAAAGAGGTGTATGACATTCGCACCACCACCACCACCACCACCACCACCACCACCACAGCTACAACTACAACTACAACTACAACTACAACTACAATTAGAGAGAGAGAGAGATAGATAGATAGAAAGATCGATGCATAGATAGATAGGTCGGTAGGTAGGTAGGTAGGTAGATAGTCAGAGAAAGAGAGAGACAGAGAGAGACAGAGAGAGAAAGAGAGGAGACCTCAACCACCTTTCGGTCCATCAGTGGATTTGCTCTGCCATCCGTGATTCACAACAACCAACCTCTCCTATAGGTTTCCTATTTTTGAAACTTCCGCCACCGCCTTGTGCGGTACTTCTGTTTTGTATATTTGTAAGCCAAATGCAATTAAATAAATAAACAAATCAATGAATAAATAAATAAATATATATATATATACATATATATATACATATATATATACATATATATATACATACACATGGGTGTGCATGTATCTGTATATGTATATGTCTGTCCATCCCTGTGGGGGGTGTGGGGTGTGGGGGGGCAAACCCCCGTATGGGGGCCGTGAATACGAGACATAGGATCACACACACATATATAGATAAAACGACAGCCTTTGGAGTTCCGCGAAATCCCGCATGCGGTTTCCGTCAGCATCCGCCAGGAATTGGAAGCGGCCACGGGGTGCAATGTGAAACTCTCCTCGGCGAACCATTTCTACCCTGGGAGCTGCTCGGTTGCTGTGATGTTGTTCGGCATACTGTAGGTGAATACATTGAGAGAACTGTCCGAACTGTGTCCCCTTGCAATGTTGCGATGACTTCATTTGTTTCCCATACCTGTGAGAATTGGGGTGTGCTTTCATCAGCAGTCATTAATCACAGCAATATGTTTATTCAGCCACTTGTTGACCAACACAGGGAACTGAGTGTCAGGTGGTCATCGAGTGGTGTGTGCGGCAGGGAAAGAGGCAAGGTTTGCAGCTCTTGAAGCAGATCGTTTAAGAGAAATGCGAGCTACCCCAAATGAATTGGAACCAGGTTCTAGTGGTTGACATGTTTGGCAGAGATATTTGGCCCAAGGCTTTCTTGGAACTTGGGTTGTCTATTTTTTTCCGTTCCGAGCTACCCCATTTAGGAACAAAGAGACCACGGTTTCCAGTTCTGATCCATGTGTCTCTTCTCTCGGGCAGGAAGCAGTCGAATCGGTCATTGCCACCGTAACTAGGCAAGCCATTGCTTAGTGCCACGAGCAGCTCAAAAAGACATGACTTCATTTGATTGCAAGAAAAGATGCCAAATCAGAAGCCGTCATAGCGTATGACTGTATGACTCACTACTTAGGAGGTACGAGAAGGCCCTGGAAAGGTAGCAAAATAGAATTACAGTAGATGTCACTGGATGTCATGACATTTTAATGACATGTCTATTATCTATCTTTTCTTGGGCCCCTAAGCCCCGGCATCTCCCAGGTCGTTGAGGCCACTTTGGAGGCCGAGCGACATGTGGCGCAGAAGGAGCAGCGTGAGGTGGACGATAGGCCTGGCTCTTGCAGCCCGAGCTGCCTGAGGTTCACATCCTGAAAATTGTTGGTGGCCAATTGGGATTTTAATGAAATATATTAGCATAGAGGATCAACAATCTCATGTTTGGGTCCCAAACAGGGGTGTTTATCCCTCAAATGGCTATTTTGAGAAGGAATATGATGATCAACCGATCAACCAGTGGATTTAGGGGTGCCATATTTTCAGACAAGAAACGCATGGACATAAATCGTATACTTAATTGGTGTGGGTTGTGGTTGATTGCCGTTTCAGGTTGATGGTTTGATTGGGTGCGAAGGATTTTGAAATATTTTGAACGATGGTGAGACATCCGCAAAGACAAAGAATGTGCTTGCTTCCCAAAGGGTGCCACATGTGGTTTGAATCTATCACTGGGGGTAGGTGGTTAGCACGGGCGTTTCAAAAAAGATGTCCACCGTTGTCTGACAGGGTGACGCTGCAAGCACCATGGCAGCAGATTTTTTGGCCTGTGGCGCCAAGTGGTCCAGAAGGAAGATGCAAAACTCAAGTAGAAAATCCTGACATTGATTTGCTTTGGGGGTTATGCCGGTTTCAAGCGTCACATGCAAATAGCAAATTTTTGGATAATTTCGCTAAGAACCTCTGGTTTTCGATTCTTCTGTTTTTACAATATTTTTTTCTTCAAATGACATTGTTTCAGCTCGCATGAAATAGAGAGTGGAAGTGACATGTATTGACGACATTTACCGGAGAAAGGCAACTGCCAAATTGCTTGCCGCTCAGATCGCTTTGCCATTCTCTGCATGCGGCTTGGTGATTGGAAAAGGCGGATCAGTACAGAAGGAGATTGTAGACAAGACAGGCCATTCAGGGTTGGACGTGTTGCGCGCGCGATGACAGACCTAATTCATGTTGTTTGGGCCTGTGAGGTTGCAACTTGCCATTAGCCGTGCTCATGAATGCTGGGATGGTCAAAAGATATGCGTTTTTTTCCCGAAGATGTATGAACTTCTAGACCGTCAGCCGTTTTGCGGCAGCAATTGCCTGCCAATTCTTTTGGAATGCCAGTCCCATGGATGGTTTCTGCAGGGTTTGTTGCTCTCCACCTCGCTGCTGGTGTAGGTATCGCAGTGAAGATTACGCCAAAGGGTGAAAATGTCGTGCCGAACGAGCGTGCCAAGGGCTGCAAGGGATGTTCATGCAATGATGTAGAAAGTAATTGGCCGCTGCCATCCATCAAGACAGCCAAAATTGCATAAAATTACCTACCCTGGAAATTAGATTTTAATTTCTGGGCTTATCTGGGGTCTGGGGATGATACCAGCCACGACCAAGGCGTTGCGTCTCTGGTTGGTAACAGCCGTGCGGTGCTGGCCGCTGGGGTGGAAGTCTTCCGCCTGTCCTTAGGCGACGCCTCCTTGGCTCGTCACCTGGACGGGGAAGGGATGATCGGATCGGATAGGTGGATAGGATATAGGATTCTGATGGGTCACTGAGGATGATTATTTTGGGCTTCAACTGACAACTGCTTGAGCTGGTGTGCTTTGGATTGATTTCCGCTTGCAGGAGACGCCTTCGGGCAGCTCCATGATGGGCGGCGGCATGGGCGGCGGCATGGGCGGCGGCATGGGCGGCGGCATGGGCGGCGGCATGGGCAACGGCAGCATGGGCGGTGGCATGGGCGGAGCCGAACAGTGGCAGAGCTCAACCCGGTGGGACCAGAGGACCTGCGAAAAGATGGGGTACTCGGGAAGGGCGATCGATAATGTGGCTGAATAGCTGGACTATTTGTTTGCCAATTTTTTTTGGAAGCAAGGAATGACTGGACTGCAACACCTCCTCCGACAGCAACTTGCCTAAAGACAGGGTTTGAGCACAGCCTAAGATGGCACCGGGTACATTGCCCGAGGCTGCTCCCATGGCAGCTTACAAGGGAGCTGGCAAGGGCGGCATGCCAGGAGGCGTGGGTTGGATGCCCTGGGGCTTGGGAATGCCAACTGACATCAATGCTTGGCGGTTTTTGATATTTATATAAAGATTTCGGCCAGCTGGTCTTCCGACCTCTTCTTTTTTCCACCCAGTTGTTTGAAAGTTTGGCTGCAAATCTTCATTGGAACCAGCAGTAACTAGCAGTGATGCGATGACTCTCTCTGTTCTGACTGTATACCGGTCAGGAGGAGTGTCAACGATGTCAACCTCCACCTGTCAAATCTATTTTGAAGTCACTGAAATGGAAGCTGCTCACATTATTGGAAGCTTGGGCGATTTGTCCTTTGAGATGCTTCCTTGGGTAGCTGCTTTTTGGCCAGTGATGGGAAGCCACTCTTTGCACATGCATAACTGAGGAAAGGGCGGCAATTTCTTGCAGTCAGTCAGGGTCCTCAGTCTCTTCTGGGGCAAGTGCTGGCGTGGGTATCCTAGCTTTCACGTTTGTAGCTTCATCCCCCCCTGTGAGGTTTGCGTAGAGACAGGCGCAAAAGTGGTGCTCTCCAAAAGAGGCACCTGTCGAAAAAACAGCGAAGGGGTTTTGATGGCAGGGGCAAAGGGATAATTGAATTACTTCAATCTGGAAAAGACAATGCAAAATTTAATCCACTTCTTTCCACTTCTTTCCACTTCGTTCCACTTCTTTCCAGCCCGTGTCATGCCACTGTTGTTGAATCTCTTGCCGGATCTGTTGCCAGGTGAGCAGATCCCTGGAGTCTCCGCTCGACTTGTGACGGTCACAGGGCCGGTGCAGAGCGTGCACCGAGCGCCTCTTGGCATGGGACTGGCCGAAGCCATCAGTCTTACTGGTTCATGGATTTCCTAGCAGCCTAAATTGGCTTGTCTCGAAATATGGAACCTTCATGTCCCATGGTTTGTCAGATAGTTTATCATCATCTCATCGTTTTTCCGATAGAAATTGGTGACTTTATGTAGTTTTGCTTTCCTTCATCGTTTCTATGTGCTAAGTATGCCTTCGTCGACTTAGGCACATTAGAGTGCTGGAGCGTGCGGCTGAAATGACGCTGAATGCATAGCTCTTTGGTCGATATATCTCTTGCAATCTGCAAGGGAGGGAATGGTGAAGCGAGGAGAATGTGATGAAAAGACCTGATTGGAATTGATTGGATAAGGTATCCCATAGTGACTGAAGACCGAAACCCTGAACACATATTGAACAGGTCAAAATTTGAAAACAAATTCGCAATTGCCGTAGTACTTACTCTGGGAATCTACAGCTCTGGTATTCAATATTTAGAAGTTAATTATGGGTGCGAATGTATGGGGCCGCACGATTTCCAGATTATTAATTTCGGATCCCAATTCCAATGGCCAATAAACCCATATTTGAAATTTTAGATGCTGAATTCTGGATTCTGTATATTTATATGTTGCGTAAAAATAACATATACCTTGAAAATATGGAATTATATAAAACATTAATCAGCAGTCAATAATTTAATTTCAAGAAGTAAATACATATATAAATACATTTAATTATAGTTATAAATGTAGGTATAGATATATGTATGCGTATATGTACATGTACATGTACATGTATATGTTGATGTATTTGTATATGTATATGTACATGTATATTATGTATATGTATATGTATTTGTGTATGTATATGTATATGTATTTGTACATGTAAATTATGTATATTATATGTATAAGAATACGCTGTGAAGAAAGACAAACCAAAAAACCGAATGCAGTCATGTAAAACCGCAAAACACTTTTGCGAGACAAGTTATATTTCAACTGTCTTGTACATTCTTCCCCCGTTTCCGTACCATTGCAGACTGCGGAGTGTAAAGTGAAGAGTATAAACAGTGGAGTGTTGAGTGGGGAGTGTAGCGTGTAGAGTGTGAAGTGTGGAGTCGTGCGGAATGTAGAGTGTGAAGTGAGGATGGTGAAGTGTTAAGTGTGGAGTGTGCAGTGTGAAGTGTGAAGTGTGGAGTGTAAAGTTTAAAGCGTACCGTGTAGAGTGTGGAGCGCAAAGTGTAGAGTGTAAGGTGTGGCGTAAAGAAAGTGTAGAGGGTGGGAAATTGAGAATCTAATGGGAAATGAGGAATATTATTTTGGAATATAATATAGAATAGATTAAAAAAATGGATGGAACATATACAATTTGAAATATAAAATATCGAATCTTTAAATATAATTAAAAAATAATATCGAGCAAAAATAGAAAAATAAATAATAAATAGTAATAATTATCACATTATAAACAAAATAAAGCAATATTATTATAATTAATGATTATATTTAAATTATATATATATATATCACGAAAGGTAGCTCCAGAGGGGCTACCTTGAGTTTTGCTTTACGAAGTAAAGGGGAGGGCGGCCAGCCCCGTTACCTGATTATTCAGGAGATTGCTCGTCATTTCAGTTACCCCCCCCCACACATCCCACGCACCCTAAGAGCAGACCCAAAACCGTGTCATTTACAGTATTTTTGTTCTTTTCGGATCGAGAAACCACATTTTGTTACATGGTGAAACCTCCGTAAATACCAGTGTTTTTGCTAGGTGCTGGCCAAACATCGTAAATACCGTGGTTTTGGGCTTCCGACCCGCCAAAAACATTGGTATTTACGGTGTTTCTTGCTCCGAGAGTTGCAAAAACACGCGAAAACACCACCTATTTGACGATTTTCGGCTACTACGGAACCGAGAAAAAAAGCTGCAGGGGTAACACCAACACCAACACCAACAACCACAACAACAACAACAACAACAACAACAACAACAACAACAACAACAACAACAGTAACAACGACAACAAGAAGAACAAGAACAACCGAGAAAAAAAGCTGCAGGGGTAACACCAACACCAACACCAACAACCACATTAACAACAACAACAACAACAACAGCAACAACAACAACAACGACAACAACGACAACAGTAACAACGACAACAAGAAGAACAATAACAATAACAAGAACAAGAACAACGACGGGTGCGAAGGATCAGCTCTTTTTCTTCGCTAACGAGCAACAGGTGTGTGTGTGTGTGGAACATCTGAATAGATGTAAAACTTCTACCTGATGATGTCGATTTTTGCTGCTAGTTAGGTTTTCGTTTTTTCACGTCGTGATGATTTGCCAATCTCAAATTTAGAGCAGGGGGACCATCCATGTACTGTGAGCGATGGTCCAACGAAGCGGCCACAGTACATGCGGATATCACGGCTGATTACCGTGACGTACCTGCTTCATTCTTTCGATGTCAATGTCGAGAAATGGCGACCGGCCAAGCCAAGAACCGGCACGTCGACCAATTGGTCTTCCAATTCCTTTTTTGCACGGTTTTCGCAATCTGAACTTCCATTGTCATTTGAGGATGAATGGGCTGCATCAGAACGAGTTGTATGATTTCCTTCGCATGGTTTCTCATCTCTAATCTTTCAACTACTCCTGTCAGGTTTTACCGCAGTGTTTTTGCACGTACGATGCATTCCACATCAGTAATTCGATAAGATATTTCTGAGCAAGTGTGTGATTCATGCTGGATTCGTCAAGGTGGCATGAACCCCTCGGGGAAAGCCTTTCTAGGCTAAAAATTGACACGTTGAAATGTCCTCTGAATTGACACTTTTGAATTGGTAATTCGTCTAAGTAAAGTGAAACAGCTGGCCTTCTTTCAGGGTCTCACACGTCGGTCGAGTGAGTGTTGAAACTGCTGGCTGCTGTGATTGGCCTCACCTTTTCTTTGATTGCTCATTGTCTGCATAGCCTGAAGCCGCGACAACAGTTTCTTTCAAGAGAGTACTGCGCTCTTCAACATGTTCATCATGCCACATGATCAGGACAGGCGTCAGGACATTCTTTAGGTGTGGTGATTCTTTCCCTTTATGGTCGTTGGTGAGGTTCAATTGTGCACGTAATTCAGGGGTTGAACACGTAAGCCGTCTATAGGGTTGTGACATGAAAGCCGAGGGCCTTTGAGCCTTATCACGAAAAATGCACGTAATGTGGATGCATCTTATTTCATCAACTAGTTCCCCATTGGTCCCCTATCTCATGCGCGTTTTCCTCTCTAGGTCAGGTTTGGGTCCTTCGTGTTCCTAGGTAGGCTTTGGCTCTCGCCTTGTAGGTTGTGTCAGGCGCTTCTGTCCGCCCCCCCCTCCTCTGGTTGGTTTTTTGGCGCGTCGTCCGTCCGCTTTTTCTTTTTCCTTGCCCTTTCAGGGTTTGCCCGTTTCGGGACAGGTGTGTTGGTGTTGGTGTTCTCTCTTTTTCCTTTTCTTTTTTGCGTTCCCCCTCTTGTGTTCCGGTTAAGTAATTGTCATCTCATTTTCATTTTCATCGTCATCTCATTTTCATCTTTCCCTCATCTCATTCGTCGGGGCCTTAAAAAGCCTCGCGGCAGCGGGGCGTGTGTGGAACATCTGAACAGATGTAAAACTTCTACCTGATGATGTCGATTTTTGCTGCTAGTTAGGTTTTCGTTTTTTCACGTCGTGATGATTTGCCAATCTCAAATTTAGAGCAGGGGGACCATCCATGTACTGTGAGCGATGGTCCAACGAAGCGGCCACAGTACATGCGGATATCACGGCTGATTACCGTGACGTACCTGCTTCATTCTTTCGATGTCAATGTCGAGAAATGGCGACCGGCCAAGCCAAGAACCGGCACGTCGACCAATTGGTCTTCCAATTCCTTTTTTGCACGGTTTTCGCAATCTGAACTGCCATTGTCATTTGAGGATGAATGAGCTGCATCAGAACGAGTTGTATGATTTCCTTCGCATGGTTTCTCATCTCTAATCTTTCAACTACTCCTGTCAGGTTTTACTGAAGTGTTTTTGCACGTACTACTCATTCCACATCAGTAATCCGATAAGATATTTCTGAGCAAGTGTGTGCCAGTGCATACTGCGCGCAGCCTCGGGATCAAAATTTTCGAGCACATCGACGAGCCAGCCGGCCCGACAAGAAGAACAAGAACACGAACAAGAACAACAACAACAACTACAACCGCAACCACGATCACAAGGCCAGAACAACACCAACACCAACACCAACACCAACACCAACAACCAAAAACACAACCACAACCACAACCACAACCGCAACCACAACCACAACCACAACCAGAACAAACAACCAGAACAAACAACCAGAACAAACAACCAGAACAAACAACCAGAACAAACAACCAGAACAAACAACCAGAACAAACAACCAGAACAAACAACCAGAACAAACAACCAGAACAAACAACCAGAACAAACAACCAGAACAAACAATCAGAACAAACAATCAGAACAAACAACCAGAACAAACAACAGAACAACAACAAACAACAATCAGAACAAACAACAACAACAAACAACAACAACAACAACAACACCAACACCAACACCAACACCAACACCAACACCAACACCCATACCAACAACAACAACCAAAAACACAACCACAACCACAACCGCAACCGCAACCACAACCACAACCACAACCACAACCAGAACAAACAACAACAACAACAACAACAACAACAACACCAACACCAACAACACCAACACCAACACCACCACCACCACCACCAACAACAACAACAACAACAACAGCAACAGCAACAGCAACAGCAACAGCAGCAACAGCAGCAACAGCAGCAACATCCAGCAACATGCAAACACCAGCAACCATCACCAGCAACGCACATGCAAACATCAACAACAACAGCAAACCAATAACAAACAGCAGGCCAGCAACACACCAGCCACCAGCACCAGAACCATCAACAGCAACAACAACAGCACCACAACAACACCAACAACAAGAACAATACAAGAACACGAACACAGCAACATACAACAGCAACAACAACAACCACACAGCAAAAGCAATAACAAGAACAAGAAACAAAAACAAGAAATAACACCACAACGACAATGACAATGACCATGAACTACGTACGACGACGACGACGACTTACGACCGACCACTACCACGACCACTACAACGACCACGACCACTACGACCAACAGACTACGCACTACCACGACCAGACACTCACGACCACGACGACCACGACCACGACCACGACCACGACCACGACGACGACGACGACCACGACGACGACGACAACGACGACAACGACGACAATGACGACAACGACGACAACGACGACAA